CTCCTTGTCCCCCTTTCCTGCTTTTTTCAGTTGCCGGTTCCTGGGCCGCCGCCACTATGCAAGCAGGATAGGCTCCATCAGGGCTAAACTTACGTAGGGTTTTTAAAGGCTCCCTTAACTCTACACCCTTGCCAAGGTTCTAGAAATTCTCGAATTAGATCCATTCTTTTGGATGTAGGTATTTTTGGTCACAACCACATGGTTTTTCTGAGAGAAAGAATGCACAAAGCTATCTAAGTATATATATCAGCATGGAGCAAGCAGTCATTGCCAAGCAAGAGCAGGATTCTAAAAGAATGGGTCACGGTACAGGTGCATTTTGATCAAGAAGAGTCTGGATGGAAATGGCTTCAAAATGGGAACTTTTTCTGGAAAAGGGAGTGTGTCAATGGGGAAGGTGCAGTGCTAACGTGTTAGACCTTAGATAAGCAGGGGGTAAAGAAATTTCCCAAGGGGAGAGAAACCAATATGGGGAACAGTAAAGAAAAAGCACATGTGGTTCCTGCTGCCAACCCACCTCACTTACTTCATAGTTTTACCTAATTAATTCTGGCAGTCATTGGCTTGTGGTAGCTTGACAGGAGAGATCATTCTGGCTGGGTCTTATTGGCTGCCTGATAATTAGTAAAGTACTAATCAGAGTCTCTCTCTAATTTGGATTCTTTTCAAAGCATACTCTTCAGGGCTAAATCAGATGGACACACTACTTCTTCTGTAGAGGAGACCTACAGGACATTCAGATAGTAGGAAAATTGTAGCCTAAGAAGCAGAATATTGACCCTTACTCATGGTTTAGCAACACCAATGGTTATTTCTGTCTGTGGTACTAAGCCTCAGAGGTGCTTATTCAAAATTATGAGCTTGCAATTTAAGTTTGCTGCCACCAGGCAGTGATGTGTCTCGTGGTCTCGTGGGTTTCAAGTGGCTCCTACTCGGGCTTAACTTAATAGTACCTTAACTTGATATCACAGTTGTACTTGAACTGGTACTGAACTCTCTGGTCTTTGGACGTTTTAGTGGCAAAGCCATGCCTACAGTTTTTTATCTTAGAGAAGCAATTCTATTATTGCTCTCTTCTTTACATCAGTGTCTGAAGAGAAACCACAGCATGTTAGAGCTGGAAGGATCTTAGAGACAAGCTAAAGAAACACACACACACATACACACACCCCACCCTGCCTCCTCCCTCCCTTCATTTTAGGTAGGAAGTACTTGAAGTAAGGTCATTTTCCCAAGGTTACAGAGCTAGCCAGACAAGGGCAGAATCAAGAATTAGCCCCAGTAATTTCTAATTCCACTCAACATTTTCTGTATCTCTGTTTTTTTGTTGTTATTGTTTTAACAGAAGGAAAAGTAGAAAAAGATGCCACTAATCCTTTGTCTTTGGTCCTGTCATCCCCACTCCCTATCTCTGAGTCAAATTCTCTTCAGTCAGTAGCAATTTTTATTGGACATTTTATCCTCTTGAAGGTAGAATGACCCTTCCTTTCCTTATGAGGCTGTTAACCCCTGGACTAAGCTGCATCTAGTGCTGTACTTATCTCTCTCTTAGCTGGTTTTCCTTCGTGGTAGTTCTAACTCTACCTTAGACGAGAGTTTCTTTACAATATGGTAGAATATGTGAACAGAAATCTGAGAAACCATGTTTTAGTTCACTAATCAAAGAACAATTTGGGGGAGGACACCCTTTCCTGGCAATATTGACTTCAGAGGTCACTGTGTATCCTCAGATGTCCCTAGTCTTTCTCTAGAAAGCTTTATGTTTGCAAAGCTAATGCCTCGTTTTTGTTTGCCCATCTTTGTCTTTGACTGTCCCTACAATTCACCTGCATGACCACCAGGAGGAGGGAGTGTTGTGAGTCATGGTGGATTTCCTCAGAAAGGAAAGATGCTGACACTTTTCCCTGGACCTACACTGGAGGTATTCAAGTTTTTATTAAGCAAAAAGCCAAAACAAAACAAACAAAAACCAAAAAACCTGTAGGCTATGAAACCAACAAAATAGCTTAAGGATAGTACTGAGAACAAAATTATTTTAAATAAAATAAAATCCTTAAGATACCTACAAGACTCTTTCCTGACTCTGTAATCCTGTAACAGTTAGTGCCGGCCTTACTCTAATTAGTCTGCAGTCTTAACGCCTTCCCAGCATCTGCCCTCTGTTCAGACTTTACATTTATTTTTCTTCTCTTAAATGACCTGTGCTATGTCAAAAATGTTCATCTCTCTTCACATCTTTTTTTTTCAGAACTATCTAGAATTTTTAGTCTCCAGGCTTTCCTCATACATCCCAGGACAAAATTGCAAAAACAGAACAGAGAAGCCCAGCTCAACCTAGTATCTGGAAGGAACAAATCCAGTGTTGATCTTTTATTAACTCTGAAATGAAGTACTTCAAATTTTCCCACTGCCCTCTAGCGGGAACTGGAGATGGTTTGCATCAAAAATATCTTTTAAATGTAATAATAGCTACTAGCACTTACATAGTATTGCCTATATGTCAGGCACTATTTAGAAATGTGATATATATATCTCACTCATTTGCATATATATACATATATATCAACTTATTTGTAATCTTTATAACAACTTTGTGGGTAAGCACTATTATTATCCCCTTTTTACTAATAAGGAACACCAAGGTGCAGAGAGGGTAGTAGCTTACCTACCTAGGTTATATAGCTAATACGTGGTAGAACTAGAGTTTGATACTCTTAATGACTTTGCTGTGCTGCCTCTCTATAAAATAACTTTTCAGAGAATCCATTGTCTCTTACCCGAGAACTTCAGTAAACTTAGATAATGGTTGTTCTCTCTAGACAAAACTACAGCCAGAAGGTATGAAGTGACCAACGTCCTGCACTTCCAGGAGTTAACACTGACTGGAAATCAGTACATTCATACTTACAGGAACATATATCTTAGCTTAAATGGTCTAGAAAACTTGGTTTGTGTTTTTATAAAAAAAGTGCTTATTTAGAAAGGAAATAAACTGAACTAATTACAACCAGATTTGCAAGCTGATAAATGACAAGGACACTGAATAATAATAATTTGCATTCCCTGTAACAGCTCAATGCTATAGGCTTATTAGTAATGCCGCAAGTTTAATTAAAGTGTTAATAATAAGTAAATCATTCAATCCTCATAATCTTTGAAGTGAGCAGGATAAAGCCTATTCTTCCCATTTTGTAGATCAGGAAACTGAGGCTCAAGAGGTTACTCAACTGTGTAAGAAAGACATTCTTTGCACTTCCTTATTCACTGCCTCTAAGGCTTATTAATCTTCTTGTTAACCCAACTTCTTCTGCCACATCTAGGGCTTCTCCTGTCTGAAGAACAAAGACTAACTTGTCCAGAATCTTGAAGACTATGTTTGTCTCTCTTTATTGATTTTTTTCTTTATCCCTTATTACAAAGATAATAGCATAGTTTACTATACAGAGACCCAACTAGATCAAATAATATTCTTTTTTTTTTTTTTTTTTTTTTTGAGACAGAGTCTTGCTTTTGTTGCCCAGCCTAGAGTGAGTGCCGTGGCGTCAGCCTGGCTCACAGCAACCTCAAACTCCTGGGCTCAAGCAATCCTTCTGCCTCAGCCTCCCGAGTAGCTGGGACTACAGGCATGTGCCACCATGCCCAGCTAATTTTTTCTATATATTTTTAGTTGTCCAATTAATTTCTTTCTATTTTTGGTAGAGACGGGGTCTTGCTCTTGCTCAGGCTGGTTTCAAGCTCCTGAGCTCAAACAATCCGCCTGCCTCGGCCTCCCAGAGTGCTAGGATTACAGGCGTGAGCCACCACACCCGGCCCCAAATAATATTCTTGAGTTAGATTTTATCTATTCTTTTTTTTTACATAGGGGAAGACTTAAAAATGGTAGAACTGGACGTTAACCAATCATTTTATTTTATGCTTTCCCCAACCTATTTTACACATGAAATCATGGAGATCAAAGTGTACACTGATTTGCTCAAAGGCACCACAAGTAATGGGGGGACAGGGGCCAAAATCCACATCTTCTGACCCCATCTGTCAATCTTCTCTCTCTACTAGCTTTTTCCCTGGTAGAGCCCTGAGCTTATCTTTCCTGCTAGCCAGATGAAGACTCTTTATTTTAAAGCAAATGCCAGACACATCTTCCCCTCTCTCATTTGTGAAAATTCTCAGTAAGAGCAGTCAACAGTGGAGCCCTGTGGCAGGCCACTGGAGACCTATTAATATTTTCAGTACAGGGAAGAACTGTCAATAAATGAGTTTTCAGTAATTCATTTTAACTCATCATTTTCAGCCCTTATTCTGTTCAAAACTCTATACTTAGCTCTTTTAAAATTGTCCGATCGGTAATGTCATCCTAGTTGCATTTCATCATCTTGAATATCATGGGGAAATGTCTCATACTTTTATTGAAATTAAGGTAAGCTACATCTTTAGCATTCAACTTCCTAATCAACCTGGCAATTCTGGAAAGAACAAAATTATTTAGCATAGCACAGGTTATGCTTAAATAATCTTCATTTGGTTCTTATTGAGCATCACATTTTTTGCATATTTGTAATATCATGATAAATTTCTAGGAATCAATGTCTAGCTGCCTGAAAGAAGTACTGCGAGCCTTCCCTTTCCTCCTTTCTGGATGACATAGTGTTAATATTTGTCCATTCTAGTCTCCTGTTCTTCCTAGTCTCTCAAAGATGAGTAATCTCTTTGCTCTAAGACTACACCTGCAAATTTCTGTGAACCACAGGAAAGTTAAGCCAAGGGTGGTTCCTGTCCTTAAGGGAGGCCAACACCAATGGAGTAAATGCAGCCATGATGGGTAATGAATGTAAACATAGAAACGCAAACTGACCCTTAGTTGTGCTGGTGGGAGGGACAGTCCACCATTGCTCTGGCTGGTCAAAGGTAGGTTGGATGACTCCAGGCTGGCTTCCTGGCCCTTGCTCCACCCTGGCCTCTCCCGTCTGCCCTGAGTGAAGTCTCTGCTCTCTCCCTCACAGTTGTGGACATGGATGGAAGACCTTCAGAAGGAGATGCTGGAAGATGTCTGTGCGGACTCTGTGGATGCAGTCCAGGAACTGATCAAGCAGTTCCAGCAGCAGCAGACGGCCACCCTGGATGCCACACTCAATGTCATCAAGGAAGGCGAAGACCTTATCCAGCAGCTCAGGTCAGCGCCTCCCTCCCTAGGGGAGCCCAGCGAGGCCAGGTCAGCACGGGCAGTACCTTCCAGTGGGAGATGCCTCGGGCTAGACGTGAGATAAGTCCTGTCCCAGTCTTGACTCACCACAACCTGTTTTGTGGTCATGTGTGAGCCTCAGTTTCGTCATTTGTAAACTGTAAAAATGCCTGCACCATACCCAACTTGAGTCTAAAATGAAACAGTAAAAAGCTCAAATGGTTCAAAGCATTATTTATCATGTTGAATGATAAAACAATAAGTAATATAAATACAACAAAAATTAACAAAATTCAACAAAAAATAAATAATATCTTCATTAAGAATTATGGCATATTTGGTCATGTGGAGAAATAGACATTAGGGAAGACAGTGTTACTTGGCATCTGGTCTTAGGTGAACTCTGAACTCCAGTGCCCCAGTCAGCAGAATCTGACCATTTTGCTGGTGTTCGACTCTGGCCCCACGAGGACATAGACAGCATGTGTTGTTGTCCCACATTATCTGTCTCTGACCTGTCCACCATTCCTTGCTGCCCAGAAAATAAAACTCCTACTGTATCAACCTAAACAACCAGAACTAGGAGGGAAAATCCTGTCTAAACCCTTACATTTGTTTAGCATTATTACCCACACCATTGCCTCTTTTCTATTGGCATCAATACCCAGTTTCCTGCCCCTGTAAATGGCACCGGCTCCTCAGTAAAGTGTTGTCAGGCCTTGAGCGAGCCCTCGGCAGCCAGGCCCGTGCCCAGGTGCTGCATAAATAGGATTTGATGGCGCTGATGATGCCTGCCCACAGGGACGTGTTCCTATCCTAAAATCACTGAGTGCTGGGACCTCTGCCAGCTCTGGATGGAACTAATCTCATCAGCAAGTCCCAGGCCAGCCCTGGGACCTGAGGGAATTACTTCAACTGGAGACGTCTTTTTTCCCCCATACCAGTTGTCTAATTAAATAAACAATGAGAAATTACCTTTGGAAAACCCTGGCATGTTTTTCTGTTGGAAATTAATGATTTCTATTCTAAACATGCACATGAGATGTTCTGAATCCTCCTGTTGCATACTAACGAGACAGCCTCTTTCCCTTCTTCTCCCAATTCATCCTCATGACTATATTATACATGACAGTTCTGTCTGCCTCCCCAGGGACCTCCACTGTCATTTGCTTCTGAAGAAAATTCCAAATAGTGGTCAGTCACTTAACCTCTCTGGGCCTCAGCTGCTTTGTCTGTGTAATTAAGGGGTTTGCTCTAGAGCTCTGTCAGCGCGGAATTTTGTGACGCTTTTTGTGTTATCTCCTCGAACACTTTCCATAAGCTTAGCTGGCTTTTCTGCCTGTGGGGCTGGGCCTATGGAGATGCCGCTTGCTCTGAACAGCCACCAATGTTAAACATGCATGATGACTGAGGGCGTAAGGCTGCTCAGTGACGGTTGAAGGCAACAGTGTAGGTGACGCCTATTCTACAAGAGTAAGTTCCATGGATTTTAGAGAGTACCACAGGCGTATGACCAAGAGCCATTGGTGGCCATTCATTCCTCCGCTAGCCTGACTCTAGCCCGGGCTTCCTGCCCTCACATCTCTTGTCGAAGGGAAAGAGGAGTAAGTGGTGCTTAGTGGGTGCTGGCAGGATGCCCCACACACCAGAAACACATCTGCCCGGGTCTCGGTGCTTCTTCACACACCCATCAGTGGAGCACCTCAGGGGGCTTCTGCCCCCTCTCTGTGCTTCCTAGTGAGTGTGCCCTGACACAGGTACTGTACAAAATGGTCAGAGATCATTCTTTTCCTCTTGAAGCCTTGTGATGGAGAAAGCCTGAGACGAGAAGTCAGGGAGAACAGTCATATCCTCCCAGCAAAGCCCTCAACAAACACATAATGGATATCGCTGAGTCCATTTATTTCTCATGTGCTTTCATGACTGGGGTGTCTCTGCAATAGCGGGGCTAGGAACTGTGCCTGTTTCATGCCCAAATAGGCCAAGGTGAGGAGGTAGGAATTGGGTGCTCTGTGAATGACAGAGGGAAGGGTGCTTGACAAACTGGCTTTATACCATCTTCAGAAACAGATAGTTTCAGAGCTCAGATACCATTGCTTCTGAGACAAGCACAGGCTAAAAGATGTGGCTTTCAAAAAGCCTGCAAATGAGAAACTAATGATTTTCCCCTTGTCCTCTGACTTCTTAAATTGTGTAAGATAACAAGACATCACAAGATAATAAATGTGTCAGTTTATTTCAAGTTTTAGGGCTCAAGGTTCTGTAGAATCTAAACTTCCTAACCTCCATAGTTTTTTTTTTTTACGGTTACCTCTTTGGAGGTCTCGCCATCACCCCATTCCTCTGAGCAGGTCAATCTGTAGATCTCTTGGTTCCCCTCTACAACACGTCACCTCCCTTTGCTCAGAGAGCGTGCCCCCCACATCTACTTGACTGTGTTCATCTGTTTCTTCAAAACCCAAATCGAAACTCTTTGAAACCTTTGCTTGTTGTGCCAGTCTCTTGTGATCTAGCCTTTACTCTTCCAAGTTTGAGCCTGTGCCCCAGCCAGCACTTGACACTTCACTCATGTCCTTTCAGGATTAATAATCATTCATACAATGCATGTCACAATTCACCCGCACTGTCTCATTTAACAGCTGACTGGGAAGTGAGCAGGGCAGGGATTATTAAGTCCACCTCACAGGTGAGGCAGCTGGGGCCACTAGCCCATGTATGTCAGAATGAGCATCTAATTCAGGTCTGCAGACTCCAAACCCTTTGCTTTCCTAACTATAGCTTGACACCCGGTTAATAACACCAGCCCGTGACTTTGGCAGAGTGTTTTAAAGTGGATGCTTACAATTTGGCAACCATGACGTCATCTTATTTTAACAATCCCGTGAAGTAAAACTAGGGAGGGTTTTTTGTATGTGGCTTTAATGTGTCTACCCTTATGTACCGTGATATATGTGAGATGTGTGTGTGCATTAAAACCATACATATTAGACTGTACATATGTATGGGACCATTCCATTTCTCTAATTTATGTTTTGTAGAGCCCTTTCCCAAACATTATTTCATTATATTCCTTTCACAGTTCCATTTGAGCAATAGGAGAGTAGCTAGTCTTAGGGTTGTGAACTCAAAAGAGGATGCATGTATCTTTGGTTCACTTACTAAGCAGGTAGTGTCAGGCTCACAACAAGAATTTGATAAATGTCTGTTGATTGAATGACTCAGCTGACTCACATCCACCTTGCTTGGATGTGGAAGGCCCCCCTCTCTGTCACTTCTAACATGGTGAGGCCTCTCCCCGCTTTCTTCCCCCGCCCTGCTCTGCCACAGGGACTCAGCTGTGTCTAACAACAAGACACCCCACAGTAGCTCCATCAGCCACATCGAGTCAGTCCTGCAGCAGCTCGATGACGCCCAGGTGCAGATGGAAGAGCTGTTCCACGAGCGGAAGATCAAGCTGGACATCTTCCTGCAGCTGCGCATCTTTGAGCAGTACACCATCGAGGTAGAGATGGGGGACCACGAAGGGGAGGTAGGGAGGGGGCCAAGGAGAGCTCCCTGGCCAAGGGCACTGTGCCAAGTGCAGGGCAGTAACCTAAGGGAATTAGAGCATCAAGCATGCGTTATTAAAACTCAAGAAATTATCAGTTCACCATGATATATTCCTTCTAGTCCCTCTCATCCCCCACTGCCAAGCAGAGCCCCTCTGTTTTACTTTCTGTCTATGGATTACTTCGTTGAGAAGTTTTTTGTTGCTATTCATTGAACTCTTACTTGGTACTTTGGCTCCTGAAAGACCATGGAATTGGCTGTTTGATAACTGAAGTAGAGTCATAGAATTTCATAGCTTTATGAGCGGGTAGGTGTGAAAATTAGGTGGCCTCCTCAGCTGATAAATGTAGAGCAGGGATTAGATGCAATCACAGGACAGCCAAGAAGCTGGAAGCCACAGGAAGAAAGACTTGCATCCTCAGTTTGATTTCTGCCTATTAAGAAAGTAAGTTTGTATTAAGCCATTTGTTGCTTCATTTCATAGACTCCTCAGTTCTTTTTTAGAAGGTCGAAATCCCATATTCTGGAACATTTATGCCCCCTTTGTGCTAACAGTAAGCAATGTCTGCCCCACATAATTTCTGCCTTTTATTATTTTCTGCTTTGAAACAGTAACTAAAGCCAGGCCAATTAGGGGTGTGAGGAATATCCAACACATAAGGTACTTTTTTCCTTTTCAGAGATAATAAAGGGTTAAATTAAAGGCACTATCTTCTTTGCTCCTGGTGGGTATCGTAGGAGGGAAAGCAAATTTTCAGCCTCCCATTTGTTTTTATCTTTGTTTTGCGTTCCAACCCCCTCCTTGGAGTTGAGGCTTCTGGGTTTCTGGAGACTGATCTTCCCAACGACATCTGTGAAAGCTTCAGTGGAACTAGTTCGGAAGGAAAATTATTTCTTTTTAAATGTTGAAAGCTCCAATATCCTATCCTAATCCAACTCAGGGCCAGAGGACTGTGTTGGCAACAGCTGCCCTTTTCTTCTATTCTGGGACCAAAAATGTTTATATTGACAATCTGAAATGTAAAAGAAAAGCAACTTAAAGGTATTCATCTTCCTATCCCTTACTCTCCTGTGATTCTTCTCTTCTTATAAGCACATCTCTGCACCTGCCTCCTTGGGAGCCCTCGTAATTTCTTGCTTAAATATTTCATGTTTGAAAAAGTGCTTTCTGGACCAGAGGAGAAGATATGTCTTTAAATCTAGATCTTAATTATCCTTCCAGCTGATTCTATAGCTTTAGGTGAATTTATTGATATTTTTCCTTTATTTTGAATCTATACTAAGGATTTCAGGTAGCAGTAGTGTTAAAACATATTTCGAAAGAACAATCAAAATGCCAGTGGAAAAATAAAGACATGGGCATACAGTGAAGGGTATATGTAGTCAACTTCATGAACGTGGGGAGACAAAGGTAATAAAGAGAGGGAAGAGAAAGGGTATGAGTCGTTATTCTTTATTCACTGGAGTGAGGCTCACAAAACTAAATGGAGGTTACTTTCGATTAACGTGGTGTAGGCCCCAGGCACTCCCACAATCCTTCCTCAGCCCACTTGCCCACTGGGAGTGAATATATCCCTGGGGTAAATTATGTTAGCAGGTGTGGTGATTTTGCTCTTGTATTCTTTATTTACTCTGCTGTCATTCCAGGTCCACATTAAAAAAATGATTAAGGGAAGGAAACAATCTGAGGGTTTGAGGGTTTGAGTGTTTATACGTTTTATGTGATTAGATGGCTGTGGTCTGGAGGTTAGGTTGCTGGTTCAGTCCCGGAATGGGGTTCCTTCGACATGGACTGCACCCCTGACGTCAGCCGGGGGCATCACAAAGGTGTATTTGCCTACAGCAATTCTGAGAAAATCCAGTTCCACTCCTGAAAAGTAATCCAAAGCATATGCAGGAAATACTGTTTAAAAAATATGAGTATAAATCAAATACTTTAAAATTGGATCCTACTTAAATGTTGCAAGAGAGGAACTTGATATTTAAATGGTAGGATTTGCATTCTCCAGCCTTTCTATATATAAACCTCCCTCTTCCCACCTCAAGTGCTGGGCGACTTGCGTGACTTGGTATGCAGTAGAGCAGAAGCAGGGAAATGGTGTGGGGGCCTGATAACATGAGGGAGATAAAAACAGTGATTTGAGACTGCATCTTCAGTGTAGGCTATGACATCTACCTTTTCGAAGGGGTCTTGTTCCCCCTTTGCGGGGAGGCCCAAAGCTTGGGGAAAATGCTGCATCTAATCTTAGATAGAAATGGGTATCCTGCCAAACCTATGGAAAAGCTCACTTCAAGTCAGATTGTCAGAAGTTATTTTTGAGGGTGATGAGATTATTTCAAATACCAGCTATGTTTCACTGTGGGGATGAAGAGCAAACTTCTAGAGAAGCTTCAGAGTGTGAAACTGAGGGTGGTTTCTGTAATGAGAGACATGTCAGAGCTGACATAAGCCAGGGCGGGGTCTGTGATTGCAGGACCTACAGCTGTGGTTTCTTTCCTAGAGGAAGGCATTTGATGGACATGCTCCAAATTCCTAGGGATTACTAAACACCAGAGCAGGCCTGCTACCCTGACATCTGGGGAATCCAACCATGGCTCCTTAACTGATGGCTGAGATGAGACATTTAATTTAAAAATTAGGATAGCACATGAGCTGCTGCACCAGTCACCTTTTATTCAATAAGAGTGGTGTGTGCAGCTCCCACATTATAACCTGGAATGCAATTGTAGGGCACCCCCACTTAAAGTGAAACATTTCAGATATTTTAGGCAGATGTTCAAAACCAGGACTGCAGTTGCATTCCTGACATACCTTTTTGGATTCCACGGAGACTTGACAAAGTGACCTGGAGTGGAGCATGATGCCCTATGAAGTTTTGTTCTGTACGTTCAGCCTCCCTCTGTGAGAGACATTTTATATGAGCTGGTTATGATAGAAGAGACACTTTACCAAATGCTAATAATGTTTATTTTGCAGTGGTAAGAATATGGGTGATTTTTTTGTTTTTGATGCTTTCTTGCATTTCCAAGTTTTCTACAATTAGAATGATCAGAAAGTAATATTAATAAAATATGTTTTTAGAAGCAAGAATAGGTCCATGGTCTCCAAACACGTTTGATTATGTACCCCCTCAATAAAATATTTTTGAACTTGCATTCCCCTACATATGTATATGTATTTGTTTATAAATTATAGAGATGTTCTTTCACTAGCTAATAATCTCAAAACTCAATATGCCTTCCAGGTATAGCTTAGCTTTTTCATTAGAAGTTGTGGTTCCATATTTCAAATAATCTTGTGATAATTCCAATTATTTTTCTGCCTGGTTTCTTGACAGATCTGATTAGATTGTCATTGTTTCCTTACCCCATAATGTGGCTGACAGAGTTCAGAGCTCTCTCGCGCTTTCATGATTAGTATAATCTTCAAATTGCAGTTTCTTTGTAGGAACCTTGTTAAAGCATGTGTCTTTTTGTGAAGGTTAGTTCAGTTAAGACTAGATAATAGATAAATCCATTTAACTGGGCACATGGAAAAGAGCAATAATTTGAAATATGCTGAAAGCAACAAACAAATGAGCCACAGTCAGCCCCTCTGGATTGTGACATTCCTAACTTCCCTGGGGAGGCTTCTCTTATCAGGAATGGCACAAAACCACCCGCCATGTGGTCAGAGTGAGACTCCAGCATCAATCTACTAGTGAAAGTCTAGGGAAACTTTGTATACTTTTTATTGGTTTGATAAAGTATATGTGCATATAATGTGTGTATATATATATATGCATATTTGTGTTGAGAGAATTTTTCTCTCTACTATCAATGGATAATCCTGGGCATGCTCTGAGTGGCATGCTCATGTTGGAGAGTCCTGGAAATGACACCAAGAAAGATTTTTAGACAAAAGACTTTTTGAAAGTATGGGCCACCTTTATGGTCTTTCTTTTAAATCTCTAACCCTGTAATTGCAAACTAAGTTTTCTCAGTGCACCTGAAAGTTCATTTGAGTAATTAACTTGAGTAAGGAATGGAGCAGCCAACTCTAAATCTGTGGACTTCACATTAAAACAAGTTGTGGCCAGGCTGAGGCTGGGAAGAAATGGCCTTCAAGGAGGAAGCTTCCACCTAGAGATCACTTATTGTAACTATTTCATTCCTTACTCAGGTGGTCTCAACTCTTGAATTGGTGGTATGCACAGGCCCTTAGCATTTTATATTAGAAAGAGATTGTTCCCCATAATACGCTGAAGTAAAAAAAAAGAAAGAAAGAAAGAAAGAGATTGTTCAGTCAACTTTTCACCTGTATAGAAATTCAACTCAGTAAACATTTAATGAGCACCTACTATGTACCCAAAACTATGTTGGACATTGAGGATACAACAGTCCCTGCCCTTAGGGGGCATTTGGGGAGAAACATGGAAACAGAGAATCATCACGCAACGTGAGAATTCTATGATAGAGAGAGGCTCTCAGGTTGATGAGAACACTGAGGGGAGCAGGGAAGGGAGGAGAAAGGAGGTAACTCAGGATTTCATTATTGTGTTGAACCAAAAGCTCTACCTTTTATACTTTGGTCCTTGTTCTGCTCTCTGGGGGAAAAAAGAGAACTGTTTTGCTCCTTCTTTTATTTGGAAGCCTTAAAAATATTTGAAAATGTTTATCATAGGCCTCTTTTCCTTTATATGAAAAATGATGAAATTGTATGAGCTATTTCTGCAGTCTCCTCTAAAAATTCTATGACTATTTCTCTTTATTGTCAGCCCTTTCCTGTGGTACATTTCCCAAATTTATTCACCTCTCTCTGGATAGGACATGCATGGTCTCTAGACACTGACTCTCTTGGTCAGCCTCTGCTGAAGGGACTCTAGTTAGCTAAGCCCGGCTCACACACACAGCTTGGATGAGTGCTGTTCAGACGCTTGCTCTGGTGCAGCCCGGGTAGTAGGTGCCTTTCAG